ATTTCATTTCTGATTTTAGTCGAGTCCTTACTCTCTTTTTTTAAATTAATCAATGTAGCTAAAGGTTTATCAGTTTGGATTTTTTTTCCAAAAAACCAATATTTGGTTTCATTGCTTTTTTCCCCCTTGTTTTTCTATTCTCTATTTCATTTATCTCTAATCTTTATGATTTTCTTCCTTTTGCAACCTTTGGGTTTCATTTGTCCTCTTTTGGTTCCTACTTAAGGTGTAAAGTTAGGTAGTTGACTTGAGATCTTTCTTCTTTTTTAATGCAAGCATTTATAGCCATAAATTTATTTTACAGCATTGCTCTCCCTAAATCCCATAGTTGTGATACGTTGTATTTTTGTCTTCATTTGTCTCAAGATAATTTACAATTTCGTTTGTGATTTCTCTGACCCACTGGTTGTTAACGAGCCTGTTGTTTAATTTACACCATTTGTGATTTTCCCAGTTTTCCTTCTGGTATTGATTTCTAATTTCTCTCCATTGTTATTAGAAAAGATTGGTTTCAATTTTTAACAATTTATTAAGACTTGAGACTTGTTTTGTGCCCTTATATATGGTCTCTCCTAGAGAATGTCCTGTGTGCATCTGAGAAAATTTTATATCCTGCCGCTGTTGGGTGGCGTGTCCTGTATATGGGTGTCAGGTTCAATTGTTGCTCAGTTCCTCTGCTTCTGATCTCACTGGTTGCTCAATCTATTGCTGAAAGTGAGGAGATTAAATTCTATTACTATTCTTGCAGAGCTATCTTTTTCTCCCTTCAATTCTACCAATGTTTGCTTTAGATATTTAGGAGCTCTGATATATAGGAGCATATATATATATTTATAATCAATACATCTTGGTGAATTGACCCTTTTATCCTTATATAATGTCATTGTCTGTTGTAATAACCATGTTTTCTTAAATTCTGTGTCACTGATACTAGTACAGCCGTGCCCTGCTCTCTTTTGACTACTGTTTGTGTGGAATTATCTGTCCAACCTTTCACTTCCAACCTATGTGCGTCCTTAGATCTAAAGTGAGTCTCTTGAAGACAGTATAAATTCAGTTACTGTATTTTTTTCAGCTCTAGAATGTCTGTTATCTCTTTGTTCATATATTGTTTTCCTGGTTTCATTTAGTTGTCTGTCTATATTCTCCTTCAGGTGATAGAGCATACTTAAGACAGTTATTTTAAAGTCTGTCAAGTAAGTCAAAGACTATGTTTCTTGAAAATTGGTTTCTGGAGTTTACTTTGTCCCTTTAAATAGAGCACATCTCCCTGTTTCTCTGTGTGTCTTGCCAACTTTTGTTGAAGCTGAGCATTTGAAAAGACACCGCCTCTCCCGCTCTGTGCAGACGGTCCCTGTGCAGGGGAGGACTCACTGCACTGGTCAGCCTAGTGTCAAGGCTCTGGGTTCTGCCAAACATTTCCCGGGGGACAAGCCTTCCCTAGGCCCATGTGTGTGCTTCAATTCTACATCCCAGTAGTCTCACCCCTGCTTCTTCTCAGGGGCTTAGATAGAGTATTGCATTCCTCCAATAACAATCTCACCCCCAGCCATCCATGGATCTGCAGAGCCCCTGCAGCACCCCGCCTGATACCCAAACTGTCCTCATCAGCACTGAGTCAGGAGAGGCGGAATCCTGCCCCTCTGGCAGCCCGCCGCCAAGTCAGATGGTTGCAGGCAATTCCTTTCTTGTCCTCCCACCCCAAGGGAGGAGCCAATAGGCTGGCTTCCTTGAAGCCGTGCTGGGCAGGGCAAGCAAGAACTCCGCGGAGCTTTCACTGTTCTGAGTACAGGGTTTGCTTGGTGAGATACTCACTTGGTGGGTGCTGCTGCCTAACTGGTCTTTGGAGTTCTCACGGGGCTGCCTGGGTCCATGTGCTGTTGTGTGTTTGGAGTTTCTGGCGAGGACGAGGGCTTGTAGCTTCCTAGCCTGCCGGCCTGCTGATGGCACTCTCCTGTCTTCCCCTGGATTTTGATCAGGATATATTTCTAATACACGATTTTCTGTATCTTTCCAGCATTATTAGATAACAACCAGATTGCTCTGAATTAGCTCAACTGCCTACTTTAGTACATTGCTCTTAAATACCATCCTTGGATTCCAGAGGTTTGTAATTGCTAGATTTATAATTGCTCATGATGTTTTCTTATCTTTTGTTTCAATACATTGTCGAATTTTGCTTAACTTACGCAGTAGTAACATGGATGTTCAGTGTCAGTATATTGAACATCTGTGTTCAAGTATGTGGTTGGACTTCTAATTTTCTCTCCCACCTTGTCCCTGTGGGGTTTTCATATCCTAAAATAATAATAAGTTCATTAAAATGAGGAAGAAGGTGGTTTCACCTTTCTAGTCTGAAACAGTTACGGTAAATTATTGCAACTTAACCTATAAAACTATCCGGGACTGGTGTTTCATATTTAATTTTTAAAACTCTCTAGCTTTGCAGAAAGTTCAAGGATAAGACAGAATTCAGAGCGATCCTGCATCTCTTGCATCTTGCATCCAGCTCCCCCCAATGGTTACATCTTCCACAATACCAGTGCAGTATCAAAACCCAGAAATCAGCACTGGTAGACCTGAGTGTATAGTCTGACATTTGGTCACAGGTGCAGATTCACATCACCACCACCACCACCATCAAACCACAGACCTGTTCCCTCACCTCACCCCTGTCCTTATCCCCAGCCACCCCCTCCTCCACCATCCCTGGCCCTGGCAGCCACTAATTTGTTCCCCATCGTTATAATTTGTCATTTGGGGAACGTATATAAATAGAATCACACATACATTTGCATTTTCTCTCAGCATAAAGCTTTTGAGACTCGTCCTAGTTGTCACCTCTATCAACAGCTCACTCCTTTCCGTTGCTGAGTTGTATTCTCCTCTATAGATGGCCCAAGATTTGTCTAACCATGCACCACGTGTAGGCTATTTGGGTGTTTCCAGTCTTCGGCTATTATAAGTAATAGTGCTATGAATAGCCACACACAGGTTTTTGTGTGAACATGGTTTAATTGCTAGATCATGTGATGTGTGCTCAGCTTTTTTCAAGGGTACCTGTACTATTTTACATTCCCATCAGCAAAATACGAGAGATCTAGTTTCTCTACATTCTTGTCAGCATTTAGGTGGTCACTACTTTTTATTCTGTGCTAATAGATGTGTTCTAATAGATGTGTAGTGTCTCTGTCATTTCCCTTAATGGCTAGTACTGTTGGACATTTTTTCATGTGCTTATTTTCATTGCCATCATGTGGCCTCTGGGCAAAACACAGGGAGACATTCACCCGGCTTTCTCTATAGATTGTTTTCTCACTGTCAACATCTTGAGAGTTCTTTATGTATTCTAGATAGGAGTTCTTTGTCACATAGGTGGTTTGCAGATATTTTCTCCCAGTCTATATTTTGTCTTTCCATCCTCTTAACAAGGTCTTTCATAGAGAACAGTTGTTTTGATGAAGTCCAGTTATTTTTTTTGAATCATGCTTTTGGTGTCATGTCTAATAATGGTTCACTAAGCTGTGCCTGCCGTCTTTTAGAGGTATATTTTAGGCTACAGATTCAGTTGTTTTTTAATAGCTGTGAGATTCTTTAGGTATAATATTCTTTCTCAAATCAGTCTGGGCAGAGAGTATCTTTCTCGGAAATAATTTAACCTCACTTTTGAAATTTGCCAGCAACGTTGTTGAGTGGCGTTTTGAACTCTACTGGATCTGTCCTTTTGACCCCTTGTCATTCCTGGTACTGTTTATTTCTTCCTGTTTCATTAATTTCTTCCACTGCCTTCCTTGGTGTACACCAGGGATCAGCCAACTCTTTCTGTAAAGTTATTTCTGAACCGTAAATATTTCAGGCTTTGCAGCCTGAGTGTCTCTGTCGCAGATGCTCTGCCATTATTGCCGCAAAGCAGCCACCATGGCGTGTGCATGAATGTGTGTGATTTTAGTGAGTGTCCATTAGTGATAAGGACATTTTCACATTGTTCAGTGCTGAGAATTTGTTTCATCTTCAATCTCCATTAGTAGTTGAACTGGGCATAAAATCTAATGACAATTTTCGTACTGCTTAAAAGTTTATTCCACTATCTTCTGTCATTGCTGGTGGGAGACTGCTTATCTGCCTGTCCCTTGAAAGATCACCTCTTTAGCGGCTTGTAGGACCTTTGCTTAGCTTTCCCTGTGATTCTTTTCTGGTGTGGGGTTTATTTATAGTGTTTGTGACCCTGAGCTTCCTGAACCTGAGTCAGGTCACTCAAATCTCTTTCTCATTCTGGGATTTCTGTTGAATACATTGGACTCCCTCACTTCATTCAAAAAAAAAAAAAGAATTTCTTCAGTTCACTAATTTTCTATTGAATCTATCTGTTAAATTTTAAATTTCAGTGACTGTTTTCCATTTCTGGAATTAGTGCTTATCATTTTTCAATGTGTTTTATGTATTGAATAGTCTCAAGTTCTAGCATCTGAAGGTTTTAGTGGGTGAGAAAGATTCTCTCTTTGATCAAACTCTGCCCAGGCTCCTCAGAAATCTCTTAACTAGGCCCTGACTTTTGGGCTTCTGTGGTCACCGCTGCATTGTTCAAGTGTAGCAGGAATCTTGATGAGTTGCTTTAGCCAGAATCAACCCTGCTCCTTGGATGTAACTTCCCACTTCTCCTAATTGTATTCAGACCCGAGCCCCATCTCCCCCTCCCCATCACGGTGGTCCCGCCTGAGTAAATCCTGCCTTATCCTGCTTTGCTGCTAGCTTCTGTGCCTGTGCTGTGGGGCTTCAGCCATAAGAGTTGTGCCCCAGGGTTGCCAGAAAGTGTAGCAAGCTACATTCAAACCCCTGGATGGCAGGTCAGTGGTTATGAATTTTCCAGAGGTGGCTTCATAGCTGCTGCCTTGTGCCAGAGGCTGTAGGGCTGGCTAGCCCTGGTGTGGAGTGGGGAGCCTAAGAACTACTCCTTTGCAAATAACTCTTAGCTCCTGCCAGGGGCACAGGCACTTAGTGAGCTAAGAGGAAGGACCTGGTTTCCCCTCTGGGACAGAAGGCAGAGGTCGGAGTGCTTGCTGGCCAGGGCAGCTTACCGCACAGTGGAGGAGGGTCCAGGGGCACCAAGCCCCGGGCACACAGGTGGATGTAGGCGGCTGCCAGCGTGCAAGCAGGTGGGAGCTCCTGGGTGCCCCAGGCATTCTGGAGGCACAGGCTGAGGAACGGCGTGGGGTTCACCTGAAACCCAGTGCCCACAGTCACTGTCCCCTAAGGAGGGGCACAGGCTCAGTCGGGGCTAGTGGCCTCCACAGGGTTCCAGGCATAGCGTCACACTCACCACCCTGAAGCAGTTTCCCAAACTGGAGTGTGGGTCCTGGAAGAAGGCCTGGCAGGTGGGGCTTCGTCCTGAGCAACCTGCTGAGTTTCCTCTGTGGCCCTGCAGTCGTCACCCACCTGGTGGGACAAACCCAAGACTCAGGCCTTCCGGCTGGACCTCCTTTCTCTTGGGCAGCTCTACCAGCTGCATCAGCCTCGGAACCTCAGCAAGAGGGGCCACACCTCCACCTGCAGCGACGGAGCCCTAGTGAGGAAGGGCTGGCCCTCCAGCTCACCTGCCAGACCAGGGGGAACTCCTCGAGGCTGCTGGCCACTCTGCCATCGGGCAGCATCAGCTCATTGCCAGCCTTGTTGTTCCTGGTGCCCAGAAGGCTGGCAGACGTGCCTGTGGGGCAGGGGTGGACACTGCGCCCTGAGAGCCTGTCCCCTTGTCATGCTAACCAGGGTTGGAGGGGTGGCCAAACCCTGCGACCCCTACACCACCAGCCCAGGTTCTAGACTTCATCTAAGGGAGAGGAGAAAAGGGGAAAGCCAGGGCACTGCAGAAAGCGTTTGTTCTCCCCGGGTGGCCAGGGTGCAGGGTGTTCGGGGCTGCCTGACTGGAGCAAAGCAAGGTGTGAGAGCTGCCCTCACATCTGAGCAGTGCCGCGAGCCCTGGGCTGGAACCCCGGTTGTGGCAGCATGGACTCCATCTGGTCACCCGTACACAGACAGCGGTCAGGGAGCACAACTCTGCTTGTCCGTCTGCAGTCAGAGCTGCCTCCCCGCCTGGAGGAGGGCCTGTTCCCGATGTGATCAAAGCAGGGAGACATGGCCTTTGACCTTCCTCCAGTTCAGACCATTTGGACTGTTCTTCCCATGCCTGCTTGAGTTGCGAGCCCCCAGGGAGTCCTGGGCCTCCAGCCGCACAAGGGCACTGGGAGTGTGGCTCATGGGAGATCGTGGCTGTGGCCCTGGGAGCTGACTGCTGTCTATGCGAGGCCAGGCTACCAGCTGCGGGGCTGCCAGCCGAGCACAGACTCACTGTGGAGCCATAGGCCCTGTGTCAGGCTGCAGAGGCCAGCTTGGACATCATAGGAGCCAGAGACGCCATCTGCACTGGTCAGCTTGATTTTGGGGACGTGTTTCCACATCTTGGTGGGAGGCAGATCCAGGTCCAGACAGCTCCCCATAGGTAGGGGGTGTTGTATAGCCTGCAGGTCTGGGGCCTGAGACATGACAGGAGGCGGGGAGGCCCTGTCCCTGTGGCTCCCTGGTGGCCGGCCCCTCCCCCTCTCACATGCTCACCTCCAGGCTGGGGTAGAGGATGGGGGTGGTGTGCTTCAGCTCCATGGGCAGAGATGTGAGCCCTGAGCCTGCCCGGCTCACCGTCAGGGAGAAGAATCATGAGCAAAGTCCTTGGCCAGGAGCAGGCTGCCGCGGTGGGCACCCACATCCCACATCTGGCCATCAAAGGTCACCACGTACCTGGCCCCGGCCCCCACGGCATGATCTGGCAAGAAGAGGCCCCAGGCAGGGTGAGAAAGGCCAGCTCTGCCCCCTGCAGTGGGGGCCCACGGGCACCCCAGGAGGCTGGAGCCTGCCCGGCCTGCTCTGTGGCCAGTGTCCTCATGGGCAGCCAAGTTGGTGATCAGAAAGGACAAGGACTGACCCAGGCCTGAACCTTCTGCTGGGTGAGAAGCTGTCCCACAAGGTCACATATCACACATGTCAGTAATAGGTGACAGGCTGGGGATGGTAGCTGAGGGATTCAGGGTGTCTTTGGGGTAAGGAAAATGTCCTAAAACTGACTGTGGTGATGGAGGCCCTGAGCCACTGCATCCCCACGTGCAGGAGAGGAACCCCGCGTTGGTACAGCAGTCCCTGCCACGCCCTGGGCACTTGGTACCCATAGGCGTGAGCTACGTTGCTGCCTCCACTGGGCAGAGGGGGAAACCATGTCCCAGAGAGGGCCATACTCCACGCCTCTGCAGCTGTGTCCAGTCCCAGCACAACCCAGGGCTGCAGGCCCCGCCTGACCGAGCGTCTGGACTCACCTGGCCACCTTCTGGCTCTGAATGGAGGCCTGCCTTTTGCCTCCCCAACATGGCCCACTGGGGACCACTGCACACCACACCTCTGTACTTGGCCCAGGCTTTTATATTCTGGACAAAACTTGGATTTATAGGCCAGCCCTAGTCCTGTATGACCTTGGGAAGCCCAAGTCCAGAGATGGGCCCACGCTGCCCAGCCCTGCTGCCATGGAGGAGGCTGGCACGAGACTCACACTCAGAGGGGCCCTCCAGCGGGTGGTGTTTGAGCCGGTGGTACTCAGCCAGCACGTTGTTCCTGTACAGCTCTCGGAGCAGCCGCAGCAGCTTCTCCTCCACCAGGTACGGTCACCCGGGCCACACCCAGGGGCTCATCCCCTGGAAGCAGCAGGGACATCGTCACCACCATGGAGCAGTTCCTGGAGGGAACACAGAGCTGCTTGGAGGCTCCAGCATGAGCTGTGCCTGTCAGACCTCCTCCCATAGCTGCAGGAGCTGACACTCAGGGGCCTGCCCAGAATGGCTTCAGCAGCATCCGCCTCCTGTCAGGGAGGGGCCATCTTTGTCTTGGGAACTAGCATGAGGAGGAGGGGCAGGCGGGGTGGGGGGGTGACACAGACGCCTTATCTTGCCCTGAGGGGTGAACTATGCACTGCCCCCCAGGGCCGGGGGTCAGTGTAGGCCCACATGTGGGGCTCTGTGAGGGTGCAGAAGCTTTGGCAGAGACGGGGTCAGAGCCAAAGGGAATCTCAGGAGTTTTACCATTGAGAGAGGGCTCTGGAACTTTCTCAGGATGCAGAGTGGGGGTCAGGTGACCTTTTAGGATCAAAAGGAACAGAGACCTCAGCCCACACTGGGGTTGGAGGGGTGGGGAATACTTGCCCCCCTCTGTTGGGGTAGAGAAGCAGTCCCTTCCCCCAGGAAGTGCAGGGGCCCTGCAGCTGGGGCAGGACGCAGCCTAGAAGGCCTCCTGCTCCCTGAATCCCTCTAAGGGCTTCGGCACCCACGGGCACCCTAGTTAGAGCTGGACTCAAGCCCAAACGACCCCCAGGTGGGCTCCAGTCGAGGGGAAGGGGCTACAAGCCTATGAGTGCAGGCAGCCTCTGGAAGCTGCGAAAAGGAAAGGAATGGCTTTCCCCCTAGAGCCTGATCAAGGAACCAGCCCTTGTCTTTAGCCCTTTTGATTTCAGGCTTCTGACCCCCAGAGCTATGCAAGAATAAATCTGTGCTGTTTTCAGCCACTGACTTTTTGATTATTTGCTACAGCAGCAATGGGAAACAAAGCCCCGATCTGCTACCCCTACAGCCACCCTCGCCACTCTGTAAATGGACCCTCTGTCCTTCCAGTTGTCAAGCCAAAAGCCTTGGTGCCACCCCTGCCTCCTGTCGCCATCCACATCCATCTGCCAGGACATCCTTCAGGCTGGACCTTAAAACTCCTCCAGAATCTGACCACCTCACACTCCCTCCACAGCTGCCATTGCTCAGCGGAGCCACCTTCCCAAATCACCAGGACCACCACAACTGAGCCTGCTTTATACCAGGGTCCCCACTTCTACCCACAGCACCCCCTGCTCCCATCTTTATGCTCAACACCAGGGCCAGAGTGATCTTCTTAAGTGAAAGACAGTTCACATCCTTCCCCAGCTCAACATCTTCTGTGCATTCCATTCAGAGTAGGCACCAAATTCCTCACAAACATGCCAGGCCACCTCCTCCTCACACCCACCCTCCACTCTGGCCCCACTGGCTTCTTTGATATTCCTCAAGCAAGCCAGCCATATTCCCACCTCTGGGCCCTTGCACCAGCTACGCCCTCCGCCCGGCACTCTCCTCCCACAGTGTCTGCACAGCTTATTCCCTCCACTCCTTCAAGTCCTTGTTCAAACGCTGCCTTCTCACTGAAGCTGCCGTGGGGGTCACACTAGCCCCCCACCCACTTGTGTTGCCTCATTTTCTGTGTGGCATTTGCCACCTAACATACTAGATCAGAGGTTGGTAAACTGGTCCACAGGCTGAATCCAGCCTGTGTTCTTTTTGGATGGGCTGTAAGCTAAAAATGGCTTTTATGTGTTTAAAAGATTATTAAAAAACAAAAAAGAAACACACAAGAGACCATCAGGCCTACACAGCCTGAACACTTTACCCTCAGGCCCTTTGTAGGCAAGGTTTGCCAGCCCCTGGTGGAGATAACCTGGTTAAGGTATTTAGTGGCCGTCTCCCCCAGTAAACTGTGGCCTTCATGAGCGCACCGGTCTGTCTTGTTCTCGGCTGTATCTGTACTCAAAACAGTGCCTGCTCAGAGAAAGTGCTCATAAACTATCTATGAATGAAGAAGCTCCTCCCTTTCCTCAGCCGTGAAATGGGGATTGAAGAGGCCTATGTCGCGGGGAGGTCATAAGGAGTAACGCCCAGCGCGCTCCAGCACAGTGTCGGGCGTGCGGCAGGAGAGGAAGAAAGGACAGACTCTCCTTACCTGGCTGAGAAGCTGCACAGGTCCACCAAGGGCTTGCAGAGCCGCCTCAGGGCCCAGGAGAAGGTGACATCGGCCCAAGACAGCATCCGGTGGGTGTCCTGGAGGGGGAAGGGACAGCGACAGCCGTCAGAGCCATCCTCACCCGGCAGGGCCACATCCCACCCCCTCGACCCACCTCACCAGCTCCACGGTGACCCTCGTGGCTTCAAGGGCTGCCCCAGTGGGCCCGGACCCCCAGGTTCCGGGCATCCTGGACACCCAGGCCTGCAGCTGCTGCACGGCCTCCTCAACCAGCTGCTGCCACACCTCCTCCAGGGGGCGTAGTGTCACCTCCAAGTAGGCGTCCTTCAGCGTGGCCAGGGGCCCTGCAATAGGCAGCCACTGCCCGTACCCAGGTAGGAAAGCCAGCCCTCATGACTCCCCAGGCCTCCATGAAGCACGGCCCGTTACCTGGAATAAGGCGCAGCACCAGAGGCTCGGCAGGAGTGTTAGGGTGGCGGGCCTGGGACTGCACCTCTGAGGGGCTTTTTCACATGCTTGGCCCTGCTGGCATCCGGGAACCTGGATTCCAGGAGGGCTTCTGCCATCCCCAGAACTCCTAAGAGGGCCCACTGCGCCCAAACTGTACAAACACGTGGTTTATGCTAAACACTCCTTTCCTTTGTGAGTCTGGAATGTTGCACGTGTCTGGCAGAGGCTGCCTATGTGACCAGCCCCCAGGAAAACCCGGGCTGGGCGTCTCTAACGAGCTCCCCTGGTGGATGACATACGACACCTGGTATCACAGTTCAAAGCTGGGGGAACGGAGGGCATCCCATGCGACCCCACTGGGCGGGGACCCTGGACGCTTGGGCCTGGTCCCCCCAGGACTGTGGCCGCTGTCCCTCTTCCCTCTGCTGATCTTGTTCTGGCTCCTTTCCCTGTAGCACAGCAGAGCTGCGAGCACCACTGATGCCGAACAGAGTCCTAGGGAGCCGCCCAACCGGGGGAGCCCAGGGGCTCCTGACAGAGGCGTGAGCAGCCCGGCAGGAGCACTAGCTAGAGGGACGCCACCCTGGGGCTGGGCAGGGTCGTGGGGCTCCCCACTGGGCCCGCCATCCGCCCCGGCACACCTGGGCACCGCCAGGAGGGTGCTCAGGGCAGCAGCCATTCACTAACCAGGACAGAAGCTTCACCCAGAAACAGGCTGTGGAATCCCACAACCGTAGGCCTAGTGGAACGAAAGCTGTAAACCCAACAGGAGTCGGGTGGGGGATGAAGAATCATGGGCAGCAGTCCCAAAAGAAATAAGGCCGCCAGCATACGTGGTATTAGTTCTTAACGCCTGACCAGGAGGGAGACGGTGTACTGGGAGAACGTGAAGGCTGAGGTCCATGAGAAATCAGGCGGGAGGGGCTCACAGAGGCTGGGCTGCAGGCGCACAGGGAGTCAGGTGTTCTTTCTGACTGAAACAGCACTGCAGGATGAGTATAAGGGCTGAGGGCAGGAGCCCCGGGGTTGGGCGTGGGTGCCCGGGCTGGGTCGCACCTGCTCGCCTGTACTCACGTTCCAGCTCCTTCCACAGCTGCTTCAGTGCCGCATGCAGCCCCTCCAGGTGCAGCTCTAAGCGGTGAGTCAGCACCCGCCTGGCCTGGCCCCAGTGCACAGCCACGGCCTGGCCCCTAGCCCCGCCTGGGACAGCTGCAGGAGGGGGCCCACCACACTGCCCAGGGTGCCCGCCGGCTGTACCTGGGCCAGGAAATTGAGGTGGAATCAACACGAGGGTCTGGGACTCAGAGCACTTATGCCTGGTGAGCGGGGAGGCATGAGGTGGGCCAGATGGGTGTCCCTCAACAGAGCCCTCTTTCCCATTCTCCAAGTGTGTCCCCATCACCCCAGTGCAGTCCACCTACCAGGGGCTGGAACCTCTGAGATGTGTCTGCCCCCCAGTGGGGCTGCCTCTGGCCTACTTGGCATGGCCAGACCCAAAGGGCTCACAGCTCTTGGCACTGTGACCTCCTCCCTGGAGAACAAAGAAACACTCCCCCTGCCCTGGCACCCTCACCTCCACACGGCCCAGCAGGGTCCTCTGGCAGCCGTGCACAGCTAAGCGAAGGCTCTAGTTGGCAGCCTATAGGGTCAGGCTTCCCAGGGGCTGGACCAGCTGCCCGCTGTCCTGGAGCAGAGCCTCTGCTTCCACCACCCGCCTGTGGGCACATGCCCCTAGCACCAAGCTCTCCTCCTGGCTCCCTGGGGTCAGGAAAGGACCTGTTGCCCCCAGGACTCGTCTGCCTGCTTCCCAGCTGCCACTCCTACCCTGCTCCCAAGCCTTCTGTAGCTCCGTCGCCCTATAGGCCTTGAACTGCACCATCCAAATTAGCTCCCTAAAGTCTGCTTTCTTCCCTGCGCCCATCTGGACCCTTTCCCCCCACCTCCCCTGCCATCACAGTCAACACAGCTGGCGACAGGGAGCTCATCCTTGCCTCCACGCTGGGGAGCCACAAAGCCTGTCCTTTGATTTCTGAGCTCTCTACATCCTGATCTCAGTCGGCTCTTAGGCCAAGCTGGGACCCTGCCCTGGCCCTGAGCCACCCCGCTGCCGCCACTCACCTCCCTCATGGGCCTGGGACACTGACAGCCTCACCTTCTTGACCCCATCACCCACATCTCCCTCCAGCGGGACCAAGCTCTGAGGCACTGAGGTGGAGATTTGGCGCAGCAGGCCAAGCCGCTGAGCCCTGGGTGTGAGGATCTGGGAGGGGGAGAGCAGACCCCTGAGTGGGGCCCTGGTTTCTGTCCCTTGCCAACCCCCAGGGAGGGAAAAGACAATGGCCCCCTCCCCACCCTCACACCCCTACCACAGGGCTCAGGATCCCTACCCATTATAAAAGGTGATTAAAATCCACATCTGGGCCTAACAACCCAGCAGTGTCCACCATCCAAGTGGCTTAAAAACTCCTGCTGCCCAGGCCTCACCCCAGAGATTCTGACTTAACTGCTCGAGGCCTGGGAATTGGCATTTTTACCATTCCCGGGGCCCCGGTGTTTCTGCCACCAGGCCAGGTTTTCTGCATTACATGAGAACATCGCAAATGTCTCGGCAAGTTCAAGCCAACGTCGTGGGAAGTTTTTTTTTTATGGGACAGGGTTGGGGTGGTGTGAAAGGCAAAGTCAGGAAAGGCCTCAGAGGCCCTCAGAGGAGGAACCCTAGAGGACACCCTGCAGGGGTAGGCGACGGGCTAATGGGGGAAAAATGTCAGGGAGACAGCTCTGACTTAGACTCAGCTGCCTGTCTTCTAGTCCAAACACTGCAACTAGCAAGCTGTGCAACCTTAAATAAGTGTGTTACCCTCTCTGGGTCACAATTTCAAAAAGTACAAGATGATGTAGAATGCTGCAAAGTTCAGGAGAAATCAAAATTATGGGCTGAACTGTGCTCCTCAAAAAGCCATGTTGAAGATTCTAACTCTGGTCCCTGTGAACATGATACTATTTGGAAATAGGGCCTTTGCAGATGTGATAAAACTGAGGTCACAGAGGACTGGAGTGGGACCTAAGCCCAGTGACTGATGTTCTCACAAGAAGGCCATGAGGATCGGAGGCAGAGGCAGGGACAAAGCCACTGGCCGCTCCGCACCAAGGCCTACTGGCAGCCAGCGGGCACAGAGAGAGGTGAAGGGGCACAGCCTCACCCATACCTCAGGACTCCCAGCCTCCAGAGCTGAGAAGGAAGAACTTTCTGTTGTTAAACCACCTAGTTGGGGTGACTCGTACGGCAGCCCTAAGAATCTAATGCAGGCTCTCAAGTCCTCTTCCCCAGAGATTTCCGAGGCACCAGTGGGATGCAGCCCTGGAGTCCTCATGTGACTTCACAGTGCTCCAGTGAGCTGGGCTGGGGATGGTCGGCTGCAAACCACACCTGGGGTCTCTGTCCCGGGTGGCTTCCTGCATCTGAGCCCCCCCACCCCCCAGTCCCTGTCATGGAGTGGTGAGGCCTGGCTGGCTGGCCGCTGTGCAGCCCAGGTGAGCCTTCACCTCCCCAATCTGACCCCCTGTGCTCAGGGGTCTCTGGGTTGCTGTGAGGACCAGAGGCTGAGAAAGGCCTCTGCCCACTTCAAGAACCCTAGAGTGGGGCTAGCAGAAAAAGGGTGGGCGTGTGAGAAGGGGCTCAGTCCCGGGCCTCCAGTTCCAGGAGGCAGGCCATGGGGCACTGGGATTACAGATGTGGGAGTGGCTGGCAAGAAGGGAAACAAGAGTCGGCCCTGCAGAACCAGGGCCAGGAAAGCTCTTTGGAAATAGCCATGGCCCCAGAAATGCCATCCTCTCCCAGCTCCAGATGCTGGAAGGAAGCACTCATCTCAGGAGCACCTGCTGTGTGCATGCACTTGGCAAACGTTGTCCCTTTTGCCTCCCAACAACTGCAGAGGAGGGGGGACTAGTTCCCATTTGACAGAAGAGAAGACTGAGGCCAGAAGCAGGACCATCCCAAGGTCATCCAGCCAGGGAGACACAGAGGCAGGTGGGCAGTGCACAGATGGGCACCTCCTGCATGCCTGTGCTGTGGGCAGAGGGGAGGGGGGCCCAGCATCCCACCAACTACCCCCCTAGTATATCTGATCCCCACTTACAGCTGAGGAAACAGGGCTCAGAGCGGCCCTTTCCCGTGGTCTCACTGAACCCAGCTCCAGCTCTGTCCCTTCCTCCTGCCCTGGGCTGCCGGGAGGTGTGAGGGGGGGAAGACTGAGCCAATAGTAGCTAATACTTTGCGGCTGCTTTGTGTCAAGAACTGTGAGCACTAAGCGGCCTACAAGTACTGGCCTGTTTAACCCTTGCACTGCTAATATCCCACGCGAGGTGTCCCAGGTGCCACTATCCTTCCCCACCTCACAGGTGAGGCGACAGAGGCACAGACAGATGAAGTGAGCTGCCGCCTAGGAAGAGGATGGGCTGGGGCTCAAAGCCAGGTGTCTCTCCGTTGCAGAAGGGACGGATGTTGGGACCGGTAGGAGCTGCTTTTTCTCCGGGTTGGGGCCAGGCCCTGGGCATCCCAACCCCCAGTTGCTCTGGTCCCCACCAGGATGTAAGCCTGCAGTTCCAGTAATGGCCACTAGATGGCAGAGCTGCATAACTGCGGCAAGCCCGCTGGCCAGAGGACAGACAAGGTTTCTCCCTATGGGGCAGACAGCCCAGACCTGGCCACCCACCTCCAGCTCCCCGGAGAAATCAGGCGTCTGGGGCCTGCTGTGGTTGCGGAGGGTCAGGCTGAGGTGCAGGCCATGGTCCAGGTCAGGTGCAAGGCCCAACTGGCAGTGGGAACGTAGTAGGAGCCCCCCATGGCTTAGGGTGTGCTCCCCAGAGATGGAGAGGGCCTTGGATGAGAGGGTGGGCATCAGTAGCCAGGGAGGCACAGGGGCAGTGGGTTCCTCTCCCCCACCATTCTCCAGTGCCGGCCGCTGGGACTGTGGCAGTCGCCTATTTGATCTCCCAGCCTCCACTCCTGGCCCAGCCCACAGCCCTTCTCCACTTGGCAGCTAGACTGACCTTAAAAATGCAAATCAGACATTTTCCACCTGGTGAAAGCGCTCTGCTTTCCCACTGCACTGGGAAGAGAAGCCAGTGTCCTTGGCATGGGTCAGCATTATCTTCTTAACCTCACCTCCTTGCTTTCTAAGGGCCGCCCTGTGTTCCTCAAACACCCTAAGCACTCTTTTGCCACAGGGCCTTTGCACCAGCTGTTCCCTCCTACCACAGAGCTGTCTGTGAGGCCCCTGCAATCCCCTGTCCCATTCCTTCACAGCATGCACCACACTTGGCTACATATCATGCATCTTGTTTGTTTTATCTTCCTCCACCCACTGGGACGTGAGCTCCAGGGCACCCGGTCTGTCCCTTTCATCATCCTTGTCTCTGCTTTGAGAATAGAGCCTGGCATAAGTAAAACCCACAAATGCTTTTCAAATGAATGGATGAATCAATTGGAAGCTGGGAGACTATGGCTCATGGCCCAAATCCATCTCCCTGCCTAATCTTGTAAATAAGGTTTTATTGGAACATGGCCACACCTATTCATTTCTATATCATCTAGGGCAGCTTTTGTGATACAATAGAGCTGAGTACATGTCATTGAGACCATACAGTCTTCAAAACCTAAAATATTTGTTATCTGACCCTTTACAGAAGAAAGTTAAGGACTCTTGGGATGGATGGATATATTAGATGATGGATGGATGGATGGGTGGGTGGGTGTGGATGGATGGATGGGATGGGAGGATGAAGGGAGGAGGGAGGGATGGATAGGAGAATGGGTGGAAGGACCAGTCAACCAGTTGAAAACCCAGGAGGATGTTGGGAGGAAGGGGTGCCAACACATGACCGCTAATGACCTGATGGAGACAGCAGCTTTTGCTTATGAATTAGGCACCCTTCCTGCGTCATGTCTCTTAAATCTCATGCTGGAACCTAGTGCATTCTTCAGATGGAGCACTGGGCGTTCTGAGAGGAGATGTGTTCCGCCCATGGTCACCCAGCAGACAGTGGCAGAGCCATGAGGTTGGCACCCAGCTCCCTGCTCACCCCCCTGCACCATGCAATGCCCTCCTCTCTCATCACCCCCAGGGGTCCTTGCCCACCGCCCCCCAGGACAGGCTCACCCTGGGCAGGTCACAGAGCCCCAGGTGCAGGGAGTGGTGCAGCCAGTGGGCATAGTTGGTCTCCACTTCTCCCCGGAAGCTCTGTGTGGTGCAGGAGGCCGTGAGGACATGCTCCAGTGTGGCCTCTGCGTGGACCTTGTCTGGCTGGGATGGCCAGTGCCTCTGGATGAGGGGGCACTGTGGGACGAGGGCTCATTGGGTAAGAGAGCATGCTCGTGGCCAGCCGCAGCTGAGAGACTCTTATGTGAGGACAGCAGGCGCCGGAAACCGCTAGAGGCCCGGTCAGCCGCAGCAGCCACCCTGTACAGGCTTGTCGGGGGCACTGAGGTGGCGGAGCCCATGGGTCCCAAAAGCCAGCTGGGAGGCCCCTGAGAGAGCAAGGGGCTTTGGGGACTAGCCATCCCCATTCCTTCATGACCCAGTTCCCACCTCAGGCTCTGCAGAACAGCGCTTGGCCCCAAAGGAGCCCCATGTGGCAGTGATGCTGGGAAGACCCTAACCCTGACACCTCTGGGAACCTCCGCTGTCTGTGCACCCCCTCCCTGAAGCCCACTGGCACCACAGCTCCTTGTCCAGTCTGCCCCCTGGTGCCTGCCTCATGCTGGACACCTTGCTGTCCTTACCTCCCAGCGTGGCACTCAGGTTGGAGAAGGGCTCTTGGACCCACCTCACGGGTGAGAAAACCAAGGCTGTCAGTGGGGAAGTGAGTTGCCCATGGCTGCGCGTGCAGCTAGCCCTGACACCCAGGACACTGAGGGCCCAGAGCCAGACACCTCCTGCAGCAGGTGGCTGCCCTGTGGGTTGCCTGCCTAGAACTGGCTCCGCAGGCCTAACCTCATATGTCAGGTTCTGCTGCACCAGGCATTGGCCCCACGACAGATGGAGCTGCTGACTGAACTCAGCAGGGCTCTGCATTAAAGCCCCACCGGCTCTGCGGGTGCCCAGGCCCCAGGTTTCCTGGAGTTGACAGGGAGGAGGACTGAGTATGTGGCTCACGGCCAGCCAGGGGCCCAGAGTTAGGGACTGTGCTGGCTCTGCAGTCCAGCCAGTGTGTACCTGCCACAGGGAGGCAGCCAGGCAGCCCCCCCAGAAGGTGCTGCGTGCTGAGGACCTGTCTGCCCAGCTGAGGTGCAAGGTCACAGGCTGCCCTCTGTTCCAGGCAAGCTGTACCTGCATTGAGATTCAGGAGGCAGGGGCTGGTCAGTGGCGGGGGGAGAGGAGGGGCTGATGCCCCCCATTTTGTGGGGGTGAGGAGAGGATGGAATGGTGGGAGTGGGGAGGGTAGAGAAGCTGGTGGCTCCTGTGGGAACGAAGGCTGGAGGGACAGAGCCGTGTCTGCAAAAGCTGAGCCACACCCTGAAGTGTTTAGATGGAAAACGCCTCATTCCCGACCCCCCAGACCTGTCATTTCCGAAGACAGAATGCAATCTGAGCCCCTCACCGGGGCCTGCAGGCTGCTGTGGACCGCACTGTGCCCCACCCCCATGCGTGTACGTGGCAGCCCGGGTCCCCAGGGTAGTGGGACTGCGAGGTCACTGGGTTCAGATGGGGTCATAAGGCTCCCTTAGGACGGGATGAGTGCCCCACAGAGCTCTCTCTCCCGATGCCCAAGGACACCACCGCACGGAGGCTGCAAGCCAGAAAGGGGGCTCACCCCAGACCCCAGCCGTGCAGGCACCTCGACCTCTGGCTACTCCAGAAGTGTAGGACATAAATTTTGGTTGTATAAGCCCCCTAGCCTCGGTATTTTGTTATGGCAGGCAGCCTGAGCTGACCAAGGTAGGACCCCTACATGATCTGTCCCCTACCTGACCTCAACTCCCTGTGACCTGTCCCCACCTGTCACCCTGTCCCAGTGGGATCACGTCTGGCTCTTCCGTAAGCACCCAGCCTGTGCCCACCCCAGGGTCTTTGCCCATGCTATGCCCACCACGGGGAATGCTACTGTTCCTCCAGCTTGTCACACGGAGGCTCCTGACAAGCCACCTCCCCAGCGAGGCCCTCACTGACCGCTCTGTCCAGGTATTCTCTATCTCAGCATCCCCTTTACTTTGTTCATGTTGCTTAGCACAACTCTTACTGTTTTTTTTTCATTTGTTCATTTGCTTGAATTTTGGACAGGGCCTTTGCCTGCTCTGCCTGGCACTCACAGCCTGCCTGCTGCCCGGACGAAGATGGAGGCTTAGAGGCGAGGGGCCCAGCTACCCTGCCCCTAACTCTGCTGCATGGAAGATGAATTGCACACGCTTGTAAAATTCGCTCTACTAAAATGTGAGCTCGGTGGAGGCAGGCACCAGATCTGTGCCTCAGACACTGCCTGGCATACAGTAGGTGCTTAATAAGGTCCTGGTGAAGAAATGAATGAAGGAAGGACCCCTCAGGGCCCCAGGCTTCAGGAACTGTGTTTCCGGAGAAGTTCCTTGTGACTGAGGAGCAAACAGGATCCCCTCCCCCTGCACACGGCACCCAGGTGCCCCACCTGTAGTCTCAGCCACCCCTGAGGCCCCGCCCTGGACGCAGCAGACGCTTCCTGCTCACCTGCCGGCTCTGACTGCTGCCCCTGCTCTCCGCAAGGCCGCTGACCTCGGCACACTGCCAGGGCAGGCTGAAGGGGTGAGCCAGGGCCAGGTCGGCAGCCAGTTTGCCTGTCTCCAGTCGCGGAGAGGAGGAGACCACGACCTGGCCAGGGGTACAGGCTGAGCCAGAGGCCCCTCCCAGGTAAGACATACTCCCTCCCCACGCAGTGTGGACAACCTTCTTCAAGTTCAAGGGTGTGGGAATGGCTGGCTCTGAGCACAAGCCCCATCACTGTGGGGGGGCCCTTGGAGAGCTCCAGCCCATTCTGCAGAAGGGGAAGCCGAGGCTAGGAAGTCAACAGACAAGGACAAATATATGACAGACACAGGATGTGGTGGCTGATGAGAGGCACTGGAGGCATTTGTGGGTACAAATCCCAGCCCTGCCTTCCGCTAGCTCTGTGACTCTGGGCAAGTCACGCAACATCTCTGAGTTTTGATTTCATCATCTGGAAATGGGGCCCGAGCCCAGCATGTGAGACGCCTTCAGTGCCTGATGACCACAGGCATTTTGGCTGTGGCTCAGGGGTCGTCAGAACCCAGGTCCCACCCTGACCCAGGGCCTTCCCCACAGGCGACTGGGCCTGGCCGGGTTGGCCCAGTAAGGCTCCTTGGGCCAGGCAGGGCCCCAAGCTCAGGCTGCAGAGTGGAGTTCTGGGGTTTCCTTCCAGCGCTGACACCTACCCGGTCCTTGCCCTCCCAGCCCATGGCCAGGTGGTCCCAGCGGCTGCACCCTCAGGGCTTGGAGGACAGGCAGAAGCTGCAGTGCTGCGGCAGGGAGAGGGCCAGCGGGTGGGTGAGCTCCACTGGGTGCGGACACGAGGAGGGACAGGCAAGCGAGCTGAGAATACGGGCTCGAGGCCAAGGCTCAGCTGACAGAGACCCACTTGGGCAGGTGGCCACTCTGGGGCCACGTGCCCAGGTACTCTGCACAAAATAGAAAAGCTACACCTTCTCCCCACACCATTCCATGTACTCCTGTACCATCCCCGTGTGTGTCCTAATCCCCACGCCTCCTCCAACAAGACGCACAATCTCTCCCCGGCCCTTGAGCCTGCACTGGCCTTGGGACTTGCTAGTAGAATTTGGTAAAGTTGACGCTGCCCATATCAGCCTGGGCCTCAGCTCCCACTTGCTCTCTGGGCCACCTGCCCAGCCACCATGAGAAAAAAATCCAGACGGGCCTTCCGGACGGTGATACCACATAGAGGAGAGCCTGGCTGTTCCGTCTGACGCTGTCCTGGATCAGCTGACCTCGGGCCGAACCCCACACGAGGTAGAGAGCCAGGCCCAAACCAGCGGCACCACCTACCCAGCCTGGGGCCGCCCTGATGCACGAGTAAGACCAGGACCATACATGAGGCTGTCAAACTCTTAGAAGAACACATAGGCAGAAATCTCGTGAATATAAATGTGAGCAACTTTTTCCTGAACACATCTCCTCAGGCAAGAGAAACAAAAGCAAAAATAAACAAGAGGGACTGCATCACACTAAAAAGCTTCTGTAGAGTAAAGGACACCATCAGCAGAACAAAAAGGCCTCCTATAGTACAGGAGAATATTTTTGTAAATGATTTATTCCATAAGGGTTAATATCCAAAATACATGAAGAGCTTACATGCCTCAACACCCAAAGAACAAATAAGCCAATGAAAAAATGGGTGGAGGAGCTGAACAAACACTCCTCCAAAGAAATGCAGATGGTCAACAAGCACATGAAAAGATGCTCCACATCACTAATCATCAGAGGAATGCAAATTAAAACCACACTGAGATATCACCTCACACCAGTAAGGATGGCCAGCATCGAAAAGTCTAAGAACAAAAAATGCTGGCGAGAATGCAGAGAAAGGGGAACCCTCCTACACTGCTGGTGGGAATGTAAGCTAGTTCAACCACTGTGGAAAGCAATCTGGAGGTTCCTCAAAAAACTAAAAATAGAAATACCATTTGACCTGGGAATCCCACTCTTCGGAATTTACCCAAAGAATACAACTTCTCAGATTCAAGAAGACATATGCACCCATATGTTTATGGCAGCACTATTGACAATAGCCAAGGTGTGGAAACAACCTAAGTGTCCATCAGTAGATGAATGGATAAAGAAGATGTGATACATATACACAATGGAATACCATTTGGTCATAAGAAAGAAACAAATCCAACCATTTGGAACAACATGGATGGAGCTGGAGGACATTATGCTCAGTGAAATTAGGCAGGTGGAGAAAGACAAATGCCAAATGATTTCCCTCATTTGTGGAGTATAACAATGAAGCAAAACTGAAGGAGCAAAATAGCAGCAGACTAAGAGACTCCAAGAAGGAACTAGTGGTTACCAAAGGGGACGGGTGGGGAGGGAGGGAGGAAGGGATTGAGGGGTATTATGTTTAGTACACATGGTGTGGGGGGTCACAGGGAGAACAGTGTAGCACAGAGAAGGCACATAGTGGATCTGTGGCATCTTACTACACTGATGCTCAGTGACTACATTGGGGTATGGGTGGGGACTCGATAATATGGGTAAATGTAGTAAGCACATTGTTTTTTCATGTGAAACCTTCATTAAGAGTGTATATCAATCATACCTTAATAAAAATAAATTTTAAAAAAAGACAATGTTGGCTGTAGCCTGTCGGTGGGGCTTGCCATTGACCTTTGAAGAAATCAGGAGACCCCAGAAGGAATGCCTGTGGGATTATGATGGGGATTATGTTGAATCTACAGCCGGTATAGGAAGAACCGTCTTCCAACTGAATCTTTGAATACGTGAATACATCACCTCTGTTCATTTATTCAAGTCTTCCTTAGTTTTTTCCAGTAATGTATTTTTATTTTTTATTAAGGTATCATTGATATTCAATGTTATGAAGGATTCACATGAGCACCATGGTGGTCACTAGATTCACCCATATTCCCAATCTCCCCATCCCCCATTGCAGTCACTGTCCATCAGTGTAGTAAGATGCTGTGGAGTCACTATTTGTCTTCTCTGTGCTGTACTGCCCTCCCCATGACCCCCTTCCATTATTTGTGCTAATCATAATGCCCTTTAATCCCCTTCCCCCTCACCCCACAGCCCCTTTCTCAGTATGTTTTACTGTTTTCACTGCAGTTTCCCAGCGGTCCCCTCCCCATCCCCTACACCTGAGGGAACGTTTCCCTCCCTCCGTGCGGGATGCAGCGTCCTCTCCCTAGCAACAAGGGTCCCGCCGTAGAGCGAGCGGCTCTAGGTCTGAGGAACGTGGTGTCGTAAAGCCGCGAGTGTCGTAAACCAGGCGCGGTGCGGAGAGGCGCAGGACGTGGCTGGAGCATTGGGACGGCCGCAGGAGGAGCAGACGGGCGGCCCAGGTGTGGGCGCGGAAAGCCGACGAGCCGGCGGTGCAGCGACGGTGAGTAGCGGAGGGGACCGGGGAACGGCGGTGTCAGGGGAAGCCGGGCAGCCGGGGCGGCCCGAGCAGGGCCGGCCAAGCGGATGGGAGCGCTCTCTGCCCGCCTCCGCTGCCGCAGCTGCCGGAGCCGCGCCGCGGCCGCTCCGCTCTCCCTGAGCCGTCGAGTCTCTCCCGTGGTCTCCGGATTGCCGCTCCTGCCGCCGCCGCCGCCTCCCCGGCGCTGGGCGGGCGGGCGGGACGCGGCCGGCCAGTTCTCTGGTTGGGCGGAGCGGGTTTTGCCCACTCTTCAGCCCCTCCGGGCCGGGCCGGGCCGGGCTGCGGGCTGCTTGTCGGCGCGCGCGGGTCCCGGCGGAGCGCGCCGCGGTCGGACCGGGCTGGGCCGGCGGCGGTGAGGTTGGGACCGGCCGGCGAGGCGCGCCCGCGGAATGGGGGGCGGCGGGACGGAGGCGCGGGGCCCTCAGCGGACCCGCTCCTCGGGTCCCGGCTGGCCACGGCGAGGCGAGCCCCGGGAGTGCGGTCCACGCTCCGTGGGGAGCTGGCGCGGCGGCCGGGGCCTCCGGGCACGAGCGGGCACCTACTTGCCGCCGTGGGGGACCTGGAGCTGGCGGCGAGCTGGGCGGCAGGTGCCTTTGCGGAGCTGTTACCCGGTGTCAGGGACGGGGAAGCACCGCAGACAGATCCCCTCGCCCGGGAGAGCTGCTTTTCCGCGCCGGGATGGGGCTCTGCGTGGACGCCTTTTTTCTCTTTGGTGTTTTCTGGGAAGTTGTTATCCGGCCGGAGTCGCGGAGCGCTGCACCCGGGTAATGGAGCTTGGATGGGGCGCTGGGTCTGGGGTGGAAAGCGGGTGGGGGAGGCGGGCGGCCGGCCCAAGGGTCGCGCGGGTCCGCTGCCGGCGTTGCAGTTGCAGTGTTTATTGATTTGTGTGAGCTGCTTGCATGTCTGCTTATCTCGGGGGCGATTCTGTGCTGTTCTCTACCTCTTGTTCAGTCAGCAGTGAAATATCTGCTGATTGCTGTTGTCTGGACAGGTCCTGTGGCGAGAGGAGGGAGAGTTGTCCGCCCAGGGGCGGCGGGCACTGGCGAGGTCCCCCGCCCGGAGACCGGGTACCTGTTTGTATAGTAATGGGCGGCAACGACCCTGCCGCCGGCTGCAGCCCAGGCTGTGTTAGGAATTTCGCGTAGGTTTCCGACCAAGCGGCTCCTTTTGGCTCCTGCGTTATTTTTATGTGTTTTTTATTTTGGTATCATTAATTACACTTACATGAGCAGCATTGTGGTTACTAGATTGTCCCCATTATCAAGTACCCACCACATACCCCATTACAGTCACTGTCCTGAGTTATTTTTAAAACGAGTTTTTAGGACTAGGGCAATAAAGGTGCCTATGTTGATGGGATTGCTGCACCTTCCAGTAAATTGAGGAAATGTGTGTTTGAGTGCCAACTCTCTACTGCTACCCAGGCTCCCTGGCTCCCTTTCGCCCTCCCCTCCTGGATGTGAAACTCGAGTTTCTGTACCCGTTCCTGGCAGCTTTAGATTTTGTGTCGGATTTTCTGTCTAGAAGCAGATACCAAGATTTTAACTGGTTCATGTTTCCTTCCAATTGTAAACACTTACAATATATTGGGCTGACACTGAAATCACTGCTTTCCTGAATGATTTTTAGTTACTCGAGTAAATATTCGCTTTTTAAATTATTTGTTTATTTTTTATTTTGGTATCATTAATGTACACTTACATGAGCAACACTGTGGTTACTAGATTTCCCCGTTATCAAGTCCGCACAACATACCCCATTACAGTCACTGTCTATCAGCGTAGTAAGATGCTATAGAATCACTACTTGTCTTCTCTGTGCTGTACTGCCTTCCCCGTGCCCATCGCCCCAACCCCTGCACTATGTGTACTAATCGTAATGCCCCCTTTTCTCCTTATCCCTCGCTTCCAACCCATCCTCCCCAGTCCCTTACCTTTGGTAACTGTTGGTACCCTTCTTGGGTTCTGATTCAGTTTTTTCTTTGTTCTTATACTCGACATAGGAGTGAAATCATTTGATACTTGCCTTTCTCCGCCTGGCTTATTTCACTGAGCATAATACCCTCTAGCTCCATCTGTGTTGTTGTAAATGGTAGGATTTGTTTCCTCCTTATGGCTGACTAAGATTACATTGTGTATATGTACCACATCTTCTTTATCCATTCATCTAGTGATGGACACTGAGGTTGCTTCCATATCTTGGCTATTCTAAATAATGCTGCTATAAACATAGGGGTGCATATGTCTTTTTGGGTCTGCGATTCTATTTTGTTAGGATAAGTTTATAAGAGTGGAACTTCTGGATCAAATGCTATTTCTATTTTGAGTTTTTTGTTGAGTGGACGTGGTCCTGAACATTTCAACACATGGACCAGCGAT